ATTTATATATACAAAATAGTTAGGATAAATTTACAGCTACTTTCGCTGAACTCAATGAGAAGAAAGAGGTGTACTAACAGTGTTTGGACAGAATATCCCGTCAGCTTCTAGGACTATGGATAACCACTAAGAAGATAACAATGTACAGTGTATTGACTATCAAAACTGTCCTACTAATCAGCTGTGAAACTGTCTTATTCATATTTATTTCTCAATAAAAAATAAATATTAAAAAAAGAGTAGTGATGCTAGAAGTTATTATATATCAAAAGATAAGTCATACTGCTGATTTCTACAGGTCTATTGAAAGGAACAGTTAATGCTTAATTTTTTTCTTTTTCTTAATTTTTTTAACCAATTCTGCATGCTTATATCTGGTAATCTGAACAACTAATTTGAGGACAACAATATGCAATATAATAATCATTGAATTCTTATCAATTTTCCTATTGTCTAGTGAAATTCTATATTGTTTCTAATGGGTTTTTTAATTCTTGATTCTCTTTGAATTTTTTTTAAAAGTCAAAAAATATTTCCTTTGAGTATAAAGATTAAACTTCTCAACTCAATAAAGAAATAAGAAACATCATACGCTGAGGTTTCTAAGCTCTATTCTAAGAACCTATACTCCTCAAATTCTTCAAAGCAATTGAAAAGGACAGAGTGCTTCTAAGTCCCTTTATGGAAGCCAGCATCTCTGATTCCAAAGCCAAATCAAGTTCCAACTGGAAAAAAAAATCACAGGCCAATCTCCTCAATGAACATAGATACAAAAATCTTCACAAGGTATTAGTTAATAAAATTCATTTTATCATCAAAAAGATCATATATTATGACCAAGTAGGTTTCATTCCAGAGATGCAAAGATGGTTCAACACATACAAATCACAAATACAGAAGCAAGGTCAAAACCCACATGAAGGGGCCGGGGAGATGGCTCAGTAGGATAAGCGCTTGACTGGCAAACGCAAGGATCTGAGTTCAATCCCTGGTTCTGCAAAAAAAAAACCACATGATCACATCAATAAATGTAGAATGCAGAAAAAGCTTTCAATAAAATCCAACACCCCCCCCAAAAAAAATCCAACACCCCTTTGTGACAAGAATTCTGAAAAAAATTGGTATAGAAGCTGAATTTGATAAAAGCTGTTTATGACAAATCAACAGCCAGAATCATATTAAATGTGGGGAAATTTAAAACATTCCCTCTAAAATCAGAAACAAGGGCTGGTGAGATAGCTCAGCAGACTAAGCACCTGCTTAGGCAAGCACAGGGACTGAGGTTCAATTCCCACTGGCTCTGGCCTCAGGGGTGCTGAGCTAGCCACCAACGTGGCAGGTGGTGCACACCTGTAATCCTAGCACTGAGGAGGCTGAAAGCAGGAAGATCAGTATGAGTC